TTTGATGCTGGATGATCGCATCGTCTCCCTGTGGGATGGTACCTTCGCCATAGCAGAAGCCCAAAACATACTGACCGTCTGAGCCTCCTCAAGAATGGCCCCTTGTGACACTGCGTCCCCACCAGCACCCGTTCTGGTAATCAGAATGCATCGTTCAGTGACACGCAGTCCGCAGATCGCTGGCTGAAGGTAAAACTTCTCTAAAAGGACAATTTACCACACGATTTGCGTTGTAGTGACGAAACCGTGCTCAACGAAAGTCTCTCTTCCCATTTCCGTCCTATTTCAGTGGGAGACTTGCACCGAGAAGGTTGGAGATTAAAGGGGGACAGGGTTTTTGACCGGATCCTTTAACCATCCTATCTTACACCTGTCGGTCTGTGCCTATTCTTTGTACTTATGGAATCAGCATTCGTACATTTAGAAATCGGACCTTGATCTAGGGAAGTAGTCTGGCAACATAACGGTTAAATCATGAGGAAGGAAGGAAGGTAACATAGAGTCAGTTCAAATACTGACCCGTCATGTTTCCGCATTAATTGTGTCGAAACGCGTTACTGATTTACCTCAACAAATTAACCCCTCCTCGTCAGGGCACTTTCATTGAGCGTCAATCATTTGTAAAAAGTGAAATCATGCTACCGTCGGAACTTCGTAAAGAGGCGGATACTGGATGCCGAAAGTAGAGTGGTAGCTCGGTTTTAGTTAACAAGAATTTATACACAGACGACTAAAATTCACAGGCGAAGAGGACAACTGTAGATCACTATGGTGGGTGGAATTTCGAAGGGGCAACACACACTCCGCCAACATATACTGTTAACCGCCTGTCGGCAGTTAATGAATATTACGCGGTTATCCCGCTGTGGTCGATGGACTTCGGTCCATATATGTTTCGGTCTGCGCCTATAGACCTTAGTATAAACCGATCTGTGCCCCCCAAACGGGCCACGTGTTAGATGCACTGGACCAACACGGGGACCATATCGGATTCTGGTAGGCGTTATCGGATCTGCGCACCATAACAAATGCCAACTTTTTGGGGGTGTGGTGGCAGACCCGGTTGTCGGCAGACGTCGCGCGCATTGGGACCCCCGCCGTCCCCCATTGTTGTTGTTGTTAGTCAAAACCTGGTCATTTGCCGTGTGGACCAGGGGCTGTGGAGTGGAGCGCCGAGGTGCGGGCTCGGTAGAGCCATCCACCTGCGCCCTCCCCCGCCTCAGGTCTTCTTGACTGTGTCGGGGCTCAGGTGGGCGAGGAGGAGAGAGTCAGGTGGATGCTGTGCAAGACCACTACCACTATAAACTAACTCACGCAGAAAGGCGGAGCAGGGACGGTGGACATCGTCGAAATCGACGTCCGAAATGTCAAGCCAATCCTACATTGCATCTAATGTCAGTTTACACAAAGCGTATAGCTTTCACAATCCGCGATTACTTGCCGATCTATAGTGCAGGTTACAGCCTTACACAACCTACGTGGACGCTAGGACGAAGTCTGAGCGTACAGTTCTGTTATTTGAGAAGAATTTGCAAAAGAGGCCTGTGTGATGGAGACTTAGGAGGCGTAAGACCAAGAGTCACCATGCTAGTGCTTCACGTACAGACGTACATTTTCAATGTTCGACAACGTGCTGGGCGCCACAACACTTCTGACGTTGATAGCACTACCACACAAACGCATATGCGCAACATTCAATGACACGGCCCCCAGTGAATCACTGCACTAATCGCTCAGAACTACTGAAACGCCACGTCAGTCAGCATAGGAATGGTGCCGTTGTTGGTAGAGGCAGGACCAGTGCGCCTGGTTTTTTAATGCTGCCTGGGTCATTATCTGACGAGCGTACGGCGATGGTGGGCGATGTCCACCACGCAGTTTGTCAGCGTTCGCATATTTAGGCAGTTTTCTGTCGCCTGCTTCCCTGTCGGTGGATGCGCTTGCGCTGCCGATAGGTATACGGGCCATGTGCACGGTTGTCAGTAACTCGTGTCATCCCTTTTTATTGTTGGTGAAAATCTTGGCCAAGTGTTTGTTGCGGATCAGGGGGTGTGGAGTGGAATGCCTAGATGTGGGTCCGGCCGTGCCAGCCACCTGCGCCCTCCCCCGCCTCCGGTCTTCTTGAGTATGTCTTGATACCAGGCCCAGGTGGGAGAGGAGGAGAGAGTCAGGTGGATGCTGTGCAAGAATACTACCACTATAAACTAACTCACACATAAGACACCGTGTCTGTTTTATCTTGCTATGGAGCACACGGTAGGCATCGTCGGCAACGACGGTCGAACTGTCATGATAAACGGATCTTCTTCAAGTTAGCAGTTAATTTCTGCGGAAATCAAAAAGCAACCATTTCTAAATTAGTGTATCTACCAGAAAGCACACAGGGAATGCAGGCGGACCCACTGAAGAGCCGAACCCCTCGCAGCTGTGCCACACAGGGGCAGAATATCGGCTGAACACGCCTGTCTGGGTTTTTAGCTAGTAACTGTCCAATTAATATTGTATCTTCTAACGATAAAATACACCTCGCTGAATTATGAGGGCAGGGTGTATACACATTTTGTAATTTTAGGTAGCAATATCTGTTAAGACACCCCTTTTACGGACTCTAAAACTGAGTAATGTCTTTTGGATATGCAGTCAGTCAGATGGGGCGATGGTTTTTGGAAGGAGGCCGCTGCAAGGCGGAATATGAACTCTCAGACTTTTAGCCTTCTCGAGCGAAAAAAGACGGCCAGTTAGCATCCCGATCGCTCACAACTACAACAACACATCTGTGTTTGGACTGTAGCAGAAAGTCACCAAGGTGTTGGTTGCGTAAACTTTTACACTAGCGTCCAATGCACACACAGCCGTGGTCATGTCCTTTGACCAAATCACCTTTCGTCAGTGACCCCAACTCCCGATGTCCCTAATAATTCGACCGCTTTTTCTCCGCAAAGGATCCGACATTCTTGCGTTATCACTACTCGGAAAATTGGTCAGATGTGGTTGTGTAGCCCAACCTGAAGTAAACAAACCACAGCCACCTGTAATAAGGGACCGGTGGTAATGGGGATTTTTATAGGTGGGGCCGGGAACGCAAGGAAACGAGGTCAAGAATTTGCATGCAAAAAAGCTATTGGGAATGCGCGGCTGTACTTTGAGTGGTTGAGAAATAGTTGCCCTAACAGTTAACCCTAACCCCTAATCATAACTTCCTAACCCTAACCCCACCCTCACCCCTAAACACAACCCCTAGCCCTAATCCCAACCCCTACAGTGTTGTGTCCATCAGGTGGGGCTAAATAACCACACCTTGCCGGACAATTTGGCGATGTATGCGGACAGCACCGCAAAATGCTTGCAGAAGACAATTTTTGGCGAGCTCCTCTAAAATGGCTGCTAAAATTCTGTTGGCGTAGGCGAGCGTTGCGTAACATTTGCACAGGTAATTTTTCCCGCATCCGTCACGTGGATACCGCCTCATGCTTCTAGTGACTATAATTTTGGCATAACTCGCTTCTAAACAAACTTGTTGCATGCGAAACTGGGTTACTTATTTCGATCACTTGGTGGGCGCCATCATTCTGATAACTGATGGAATTACCCTGAATTACAACGAGGTTACGATGCGGTCTTGATTTCAAGTGAGAAGCATCGTCAAGGAAAACTCGAGGTCTCTTTCGAACATCAACAATCTGGCAAACTTTTACTGTTACGTCCCATATGCTAAAAAATACATGACACAGTCATGTAAGCGGTCTGTTAATTGCGTTCCGAAGGGGTAATTTCTGTGCCGAAAAGAAGCAACAGTCGTCCATTGGGGGCCCGTGCCCCGTACCGTCCTCTCGCCACCTCCCCCCTCCCCCACCACCACCACCACCACCTTGTCTACGACCCCCTTCTGCACGCAGCCAGCGTGGCGACCTCTAGCCAGGCCGCGACCGCCGCTAAGGGCGTGATGTCCTCTCTCGCATGTGTCGGTGTGATGAAGTCCAGCAGGAGTTGGTGATGTTCGAGCGCCGCGCCAGTTCATGGTTTATTAGCCCCCAAAGTGTCGCGCGACGCCGGCGACAGGCATGTGCATCGCGGTGGAGCACAGCTTCTGTTGCCACCAGGAGGTTCTATGTTCCCTCAACCCCCCCCCCCCCCCGAGACGGTATCATCAATCAGATGAGGCAGGGGGAAACGACACCCTCCTGTCCCTGCACACACAGACTTCGAGATAGGTGGCGCCGCCAGCAAACATGCACCCCGGGGGTAGCACGTGCGTCGCGTTAGACGACCCGGAAGCGAACGGTCTCGTCCTCACGGCGAGGAGGAGAGTTAGAAAGGAGCAGTGAGGACTCGTCCCTCCTTCTGCGTAGTTGGATGCGCGCGCGCGCGCGCTTGCCTCGGTTCCAACAAAGACGAGGGCGGGGAGCCAGAGTCACGTATCGGCTGCCACCGACAAACACACACGACAACAACAAGATACCAACCGTGTGGGTGCGTTCTGAACAGGACCGGACCAGCAGCTCACAGAAAAACGGAATGCTAAGTGTGCTCGATGAGTGTAATTTAGAAAACAAAAGCTGAGCACACACCGAATGAGAAAGAAAGTAATTATCACATAGGCAAAGGAAAGAAAACTCTCCCATGTGGCTGACCGGTGATATGAAGCGCTCCCCGAAGCATCCTCACTGTCGTTCTATCGCCAGGGCAGATGTAATCACACCTCCGTGGCTGGGGTCGTCAAAATACATTTGAGCGCGTATGCAGAAGCAACATATCTAGCCGAAAGCACTCCAGTGGATCGAGTGCAAACATTGAGGACAAGATCAGATGATTGACGGAAAAATATTCGAGTATAAACAAAGGGGGGGGGTCATACTCTTTCAACCTTGTACTTTGAGAAAAAGGCAAATAATGAAAGTCTGTGCACAAGGACTAAAAAGGATTTGCCGTGACGTCCATCTCTAGAATCCGCCACGAAATATCACAGCTTGTGGCACCTGACGGAGATAGTTCCTTAGAATTTAGTGGTTGACAATTCGAAGATTGCCTGTGACGACCTTGTTTTCTAGAACAGACCCATTTGGAATGTCAATTTGCTCATTGTCTTGAGCTATAATGATGACCGTACCCTGAAATCAAAAGAAAGGACATATTATTTTAACATATACTATTGTGCTGTAGTTGAAAAGAACACTCGATCGTCTTCAGCACTTTTAGTGGTTGTGAGGTTGCCTGTGAGCTATGACATACCACGGCAAAAGTTCACCATTAGCAGGAAACTGTTCATGAGTATTTTGCATACTCTCGACTAAGTATCCGCTAGTCTTTCGGCCAGGTTCTTGTCACCCGTCACTTCCGGCTTCATACGGTGACTTGCTTGTGGAATGCTATTCCGATCAAAATAAGTAATAATACCAGTAATAAGACATTTAATGACTACGTCGACTGCTAGCCTGAGTACTTCCTGTAATAGAATCGAAGTGAAACTACGGTTGATGTGCAAACTCACGAAATGTTAACCGGAATTCCGAAATGCGTTTTCGACTCTAGAAGATTACTTTACTATGGTCGTAGTGTTAATAACCGTAAAACATAATCCCAAGATATTTTAATTACTTCAGGACGCCAACTTTTAAAAGAATTTTGCCTTTTTCTAATTTTATTTTTAAAGGAAGTGTATACTTAAATTTTAACAAAATTTATAATTATGAGATTTTTAACACAATGGAATACCCGTTCAGAAAACACCGCATGTCTGCATTTTATAATGTTGCCTGTAAAGTTTGCAGTATGGCTGAAATCTACTGCTAAACTTTATGAACCCTATGTAAGGTCCTCTTAATAGCGTTTATAAATGCAGGATTGTCCGTACACGAAAAATATACAGCACGTAGTTTTGAGACCGTTAATTCAAGTTTAACAACAGGTCCGGTTCAAAAGTATTCGGAAATTAGACAAGTTTTTTTCAAACCGAATTATACGCTTCCTTCAAGTATGTAATTTGAAGACGTAATTTTCTACTAAATGAGTAGAGGAATGACTATTTTTACGCATGATTTCTATGAAATATATTTGAATTTACATGGACATATGAACTCGATGAGAAAAATTTATACTAATTAAGTTGGCATCTCGAAGTAACTAAAATATCTTGGGATTATACTGCATGATAATTAGCATTACAACCCTAGTAAAGTAATCTTTTCGAGTCGAAAACGTATTTCAGAATTTCGGTTAACATTTCATGAGTTAGCATGCCTACTGTAAGTATTTCAACAAACACTATCTACTGATTAATACTAAGTAAACAATAAGTATATTACACAAACTACCGACTGACAGACTCGTGACAAAAACGAGTCCACAATCGACTGTTAAAATCGTGCCAATTTAAGGGATCAATCTAGGAAGTGGTCGTTATAAAACATGAGAAAAGCCACAATTAGATAACTGGGCGGTTTACCTTCAGCACCACATCCTTCCCAAATGTGACGTTTCCAGATACGGTAAGATGATAGAGCTCAATCATGCTAGGCACCTTCGTCATGTGCTTCTCGAAATCCCGCAGTTTTTCATAGTGTTTTCCCAATTTGACAATTGGGAGGGTTGGGAAGTTTCGGAGTGGCGAGGGCAGCAGCTGACCGGCACGCCAGATGTACAGGTCAGACATCAGGAGCATTAAGTCGGACGTTAATTTAACTGGGAGGAACCTACTGCGCGGAACCCGTAGACCTGAAGTAAAGGAATCGCAATTTCAGTAAAATTGAGAGGCTTTCTGAGTACTACTAGAAAGAGGTGTTGGGAGAGTGAGACAGAAGAAATTGCCGAGAAGAAGTAGAAGCGATCGCTGAAACAAGATCTTGTCTGACGTTTCAGATTACGCTCTAGCCCATAATTGGGGACAGTATCAGATAGAGTTAATTCGTACATAGCACGTCACAGTATTTATAGAATGCAATCGCTATGCTATTGCATACGGATGACAATTAACAACTTTCCCCTTCATTCAGGATTGTTGCCCTCTGGTGCGGTGATTGCTTGATGACCGGTGTGCACGTCGTTAATTGGTGGAATTTCATCATCCGTGTTGGATGCTGACGTAGAAATAAGAGTCAAACTAATTTTGCCCCGCTTCCCCTGGTTTTTACTAGTGTACTTTTGTCACAAATTATAGAAAGTGGGGAAAAAGCTAAAAAACATTTGAATATAGCTGACAATATCGGTTAGTATCTAGGTGGCGGTAGAAAATGCGTACTTTTAGGGTGGTGAATACATCTTATACAGACTTATTCCACGTTTGTGGGCTAAGACATGTGCTTTCCACGCGGTAGATGCGCTTAATCAACACAGAGGCCATATGGGGTTCTGGGAGGCCGTAACAAATGCCAGTATTTCGGGATGTGGTGGAAGACCCACCAGGCTCAGTTGGGAGAGGAGGAGGGAGTGCGGTAAATACTGTCCAAGTCCATTACTACTATAAACTAACCCACGCACAAGTCACCGTGTCTGCCCTATCCTGCTGCGGAGCACACGGTGGACATCGTCGGCAATGGTAATCGAACTGTCGGGTTTAAAGAATATTCGTCAGCTGTTCAGTTCACGTTTTGCTGAAAACTTTGTGCAGCAGATCGCTTCCAACATTTTAAAATACCTGGAGATGGTTATCCTTGAAATAATTTATTTCTCACAGATAACATTACATGCTAAAACTACCTAAACGCCGGCAAAAAATGCCTTCGTTTACTTAAAAATTCAAATGACCAATAAAGTAAGATTAGAGATCGCAAATCATTCCATGAATAGCAGCATGCTAACTTTGAAAAGGAATTTTTCCAGTCAGCTGTTGGTACTTAGTTTGCCGTTTTCCATAGTTTTGATATCTGCACAAAATTTGCCGTATTTTGCACAAAAGAATACCCAAAGTATTAAGTGCCGAGATAAAAGCACCTTTATAAAAACTATTCTTGGAAACTGCTTCCTCTAATTCTGATATTTCGGTTTTTTGCAGAAGTTTGCACGCTACGTGAAACAAGTTTACACAACCGTATGCGATCCCTTAGGGCGGCTTTCCGCGTAGCATCATTAAATCCGAGGTGAGCGAGCTACGAAAATGGTTACAAGAACATCTACAAACTCTCTACTGCTCCTAACCTGTGAAAAAGCCAACTCTTGTCCTTTTATCCCGCTTTAGCTCTGAAGATACAACTACCTATGAAATGAACATGGAGTTCTGATATCTGCACACAATTTGCCGTATTTTGTAAAAAGAATACCTAAAATATTAAGTGCCGCGACAAAAGCACCTTTATAAAAATTATTTTTGGAAACTGCTTCCTCTAATTCTGATATTTCTGTTTTTGCAGAAGTTTGCACGCTATGTGAAACAAGTTTACACAGCCGTATGCAAGCCCTTAGGGCGGCTTTCCGCGTAGCATCATTAAATCCGAGGTGGGCGAGCTATGGAAATGGTTATAAGAACGTCTACAAACTCTCTGCTGTTGCAAACTTGTGAAAAAAGCAACTCTCGTACTTTTATCACGTATTGGCTTCGGAGATGCAACTATCCGTGAAATGAATATATTGACTTACTGCTTTGTGCATCATTCCTAAAAATATAATTTAAGTTCTACAGGCATACAAAGTAAATGGAACAACGCACACTATTTGAGTAGCAATATGGGGTTGGGAGGTCAGTGCACTCGTTAATAGACTGGGGTCCCGTGAACCGTGGCCAAAGCCCCCACCCCATATTTTGACACTGAGACTTATTATGGTCAAAGTAATCAATCATTCGGTGAGCGCGCAGGCCGGTTAGCCAGGCGGTCGAGCCATCATCACGCCAACATCCAAAACGGGTGATGAGATTTCAGCAATTAACGACCTGCGCGCCATCCATCAAGCAGTAATCGCACCAGAGGACGACTACCTCCGACGAAGGGGTAGGCCGTTAGTCCTATAAATATCACAACTTCCTGTGTGTGAATTACCCGTATCCGACATTTTTTTTCCGATGATGGGCTCGAGCGTAAATACGAAACGACAGGCGGATCAAGATCTTGTTTCAGCGGTCACATTTACTTCTTCCCAACTTGTATTTGCGTCTGTATCGGTAATTACTGAATTCCTTCCGCAAACACGTCTGGCTAGGAGAGTAATGAATCAATCTCCGGATAAAAATCAAAACTTTGGAGAGCCTGTAAATCTGATGGGTATGAAGTGCTGCGTTTAGATAATGGACATCCCAACAAGCCAACTTGCCACCAAGTGCCTAACCAAGCGCTTCAGACAATCTCATCGAGAAAAACTCCGCTTACAACGACAGTTTTTTCTCCTGATGTTCGATATTCTTAGAATGTCACACAATTTTCTCCGGAAGGTAAAAAATCAATTTCTTAGAATTCTCTAAGAAGACCCTACACGTTCCTCCATAGCGGAATAAGGAAAGGTGCAATATTTCTGTGTGCAAATAATCCATTACTCAGAAAGTCATTTGAACCGTTGCTCGAACTTGCCTGAAATGCGATTCTGTGTCTTGCGGGCATTGACAGGTTTAATAAGGCAGGTCATTTGGGGTTATCTTCGAGAATACACAAGCATATTTTAGCGCAGACATTTTTTTATATTTTCAGCAGTAGTGTTTACGCAATAGAAATCTCACCCAGGGGAACCAGGAAAAGTGACTTGTCGGCCAATTATTTCAATGAAGAGTAGCAGACTTTCCAGAAGCGGAACGTACATACTGCTTGCTTACTTCCTTTCATAAGTGACGTCCGCGGAGGTGACGGCAAATATTTTAATCGGATCAAATTATGCAGGGCAGTTAAAATTTTGGGAACCCCAAAATAGATGAATTTATCAACATCAGTCCATTGATATTACTAGTAGTGTAAAACGTGTTCTCACTGAAGTAAACGTGAGCCAGTTGGAACAACAGTCTCCAAGGTGGATGCCTAGCGCCCCGAAATTGACCAAAATACAGTAAATAAGTGAACGCACCCATTGGTTTTTCGAAACTCTTTATGGCCGCTCCAGAGGCTTCTTCAAGCTGAATAATACGCATGCCGTCTGGAAGTGTTTTCCTGTTTATAATAAGGTCCATCTGTAGCCTCTTTGTAAGCAAGGCACTATACAGTGATTCGAGATTCACCCAGAGGTTGTTTGTGTTGAAAATATTAAATTTCCTCACGCTCAAAAAGTCATCCATGTGTTCTGGCGGAACCTGAAACCAAATATACTCGTTTGAATTCGCGTATGATCGAAACTACTAAAATTTAAACGAGTTAGAGCCTTCAGGCAATAATGAAGACCTATTCCAGTGTTGTTAAACATTCGAGATTTCGCGTTCGGTTCGGTGAACTTTCTCTTGCATCTGAATTTATAAAATCAGATAACCCCAGTTCTTACTACAGTACTGCTTACTTGTACTCATGTTTACTATCATGATTTATGGCCATTGACTGAAATTCGTTGGTTAGGAGTCAGCCTCGCAGAGTGAAGACTGTAGGGTCAGAGCTACGTTCAAGGTCACCTCGCATCGCGTACACCCGCGTCTTTAATCGGTCACCTCGACGCCGGGACAAGTTGAAGCTGGGTTTGGACGAAATGATGTCTTGGAAAGATTCACCATCAGGTGGAGGCAGGCTAGATGGCTGATCGCTTTTGCAGACCGGAAATACCGTATTGTTTTGCAGACGCGACTCGATAAGGGGATTTGGAGAACGGGGCGCAAGCAAAGTCGACCAGGTACTACCAAGGCTACTTACGTCTTCCAAAAGTATGAGTTCTGTTTCACTTCTTATGAACTGATATCCTTGATGAAAGCCTCAAATAGTGGCAGACTAGCTGACTGAAGGCTTTAAGTGCCGCTAGTGTCCGTTTGGTGGAAGCTCTAACCTAGGCTGGCTGAAACCGCCAAATAATTAAAGAGTTTAGCCGTCTACCTTGACCAGGCAGAAATCTCCAGCGGCGAATCGTGAGGTGATCATCTTTGCCTTGAGGACATTGTACTTCAGGTTTAATCGGCCGCATTTTAAAGTCAGTGGTCAGAAGTCCAAAGTCAGTGGCGTGGTTAAGACAGGCAATTCAAAATCGATAACCGATGGAAGCACCACTGAGTGAAGGTCAAATCACCATGAACGAGAGCAGTCCTTGCCCTACTTCCCAAGATCTTCTCCTAGTGGCAATGCCTGCTATGTCATAACCGCACCCATGAGGCACCGTGAACAGTATACTTTAGTTAAATGCAGCCGTCTGCAACTGAAGATGTTTTAGAGGTGTCTGGCGTCTGCTGCGGAGGAAATAACTGTTTGAAGTCAGTCGAACTGAAGCCCATGGAGGGGGTCGTATAATCGTGTCATTTCGATTGCGCGTAGTCTGAGTTACTTACTTACTTGTACTTGATACGGCTGCGATCATGTCTCATCTAGCCGGCCTCGATGATGTCCCGAACTATACCTCTCCACGCGTGACGATCCGCGGCAGCAGATCTGGACAGCGTAACCCATTCCCACCGTCAACGACGGAGACCGAATACCGAAGGTCCAAGAACCACCTCCATGTCTTGACTAACTGTGTCGAGCCAGGTTTTGAACTGACCCCCTCATCGACGCCTTCAATGGGGCAACGGGGCCGAATCGAGGGCAGTAACACTGAGCTCCTGAGGTGGACGACGAAGAACATGCCCGAACCACCTCAGTCGCCTTTCTTGGATGGCCTGAGTTGTATTTGCGATGTTGTCGCAGCGAGCGCTGACTGTCTCATTTATGACGAAGTCGGTTAACTTCACTCGAAGGATGGTCCTCAAGCAGACGGCGTAGTTTGAGCCACGCGGTAGACGCGCTGGACGAACACGACGGCCATATCGGATTATGGCAGGCGTTATCGGAATGTGCACCATAGAAAGTGCCAACATTTCGGGTAGTGGTGGCAGATCCACTTGCCTGCAGATGTCACGCTTATTGGAACCCCTGCCGCCCACGCCCACTTTTGTTGTTGGCTAAAACTCGATCAAGCGTTTATTGTGGACTAGAGGATGTGGAGTGGAGCGCCAATGTGCGGGCTCAGCCATGCCATTCACCTGCATCCTCCCCGTCACCAGTCTTCTCGAAACTGTCTTGACACCGGGCCCAGGTGAGGAAGGGGAGGGGAGAGTGTGGTAGATGCTGTGCAAGTCTACCACCAATACAAACTAACTCACCCACAAGTCATCGTGTCTGCTCCACCTTGCTGTGAGACACATGGCGGACATCGTCGGCAACGACGGTCGAACTGTCGTGATAAACTGATCTACTCCAAGTTAGCAGTTAATTGTCGAACTGCCGTAGTCTGAGCAATAACCAAGCCCCCACATAGGCGCTGCCAGTCCTATTCATATTCCCGGTGTCGACATGCAGCATCGCACCGCAGTCTGGCCCGAGCAGGATCAGCGTGCCCGAGCGAGTGTCCGACTGCTTGGACGTGAATACCAGTCCAGCAGCTGGTGTCTAGACACATTCTGAGTTTTCGGAATCAGTAATTTGTGATGACCAAGTTGTTCGGAGTGGTGGAAGTAACTACATTGAGTGACCGATCTCATGAGACGTCGGATGAATTTCTGAAATGCGTTTTCGATTAGGTAGGAATACTTCGGCGCGGTTGTAATACCGTGTGTTGTACGGCACAACCCTATAACATTTCGGACTCAGAAGGATGCCGGCTTTTGAATAAACTGCTTTTCAATCACCTGTTTCTAATTATGAGCTTTTTATGACCGTGCAATGTCTATTCATATAGCATCGTACCTGCACGTTTACAACAACTCCTCATGAAAGGGAGAAAGTCCGCATCCATTGCAAAATTTTCTGGATTCCGCATGATATCTTTTTAATGGTATAGAAGAATATGTGACATTCTTTACGCGGAACGCATTGTAAAATTTTCTGGACGTAATAAGGCATCTTTTTAAAGGTATAGAGGAATATGTGATTTTCTTTACGCGGAACCCATGGACCTTGTAGAGTGACATCACTAAGCGCTAATGTAACGAATGACCAGGCTCCAACCTAATTATACTCCTTCCTTGGGTATAAAATATAAAGAAAACATAATTCTCTATCAAACGACTGAAAGAAAGCATATTTTTGCTTATGGTTTCTACAAGATATATTTGAATTTGCAAGACCATCGAAAATCAGTCGGAAAAATTCACGCTACTTAAGCAGTCATTCTTTACCAAGTATGGTTTATACAGGTGATTGAAAAACAGTGCATTCAAAAGCTGACATCCTGTCGAGTCCGAAGCATTATAGGGTTGTGCCGTACAATACTCGGTATTACAACCGCGCCTAGGTAATCCTACCTAATCGAAAACGCATTTTAGAAATGCAGCCAACATTCCATGAGATCGGTCACTTACTGTAGCACCTCAGCGCTTATACAACGGTTTCCCACTGCGTAGTAGCTAACTATTATCCGCGTAGACTTAACACCCTCTCCCCCTGGCATTGTGATTCACTCAATAAAAGTGTCCCACTATTGGCCAGGAGAGTCTGCTGATTTCAGTTCATGGCGCAGGTATCGGCTAAACATTGGCAATGCTTGACGACGTGCTGGACGCCACAACACTTTTCACGTTGATAGAAATACCACACAAACGTATATGCGCAACATTCAATGACACGGCCCCAGTGAAAAAGCGAAACGTTGCACCAATTACTCAGAACTATCGAAACGCCATGTCAATCAGAATAGCAATGGTGCCGTTGTTGGTAGAGGCAGGACCACTGTGCCTGGTTTTTTAATGCTGCCTGGGCCATTATATGACGAACGCACGGCGATGGTGGGCAATGTCCACGCTGCTGCGCTCGCATATTTAGGGAGTTTTCTGTCGCCTGGTTCCCTGTCGGTGGATGCGCTTGCGCTCCCGATAGGTATACAGACCATGTGCATGGTTGTCAGTAACTCGTGTCATCCCTTTTTATTGTTGGTTAAAACCGAGGCCAAGTGTTTGTTGCGGACCAGGAAGTATGAAGTGGAACGCCTAGGTGTGGGTCCGGCCGTGCCAGCCACCTGAGCCCTCACCTCGCCTTAGGTGTTCGTTACGATGTCTTGAAACCAGGCCCAGGTGGGAGAGGAAGAAGAGGTGCGGTAGATGCGCTGCAAGTCTACACTACCACTATAAACTAATTCACGCACAATTCACCGTGCCTGTTTCACCCTACCATGGACCACCCGGTAGACATCGTCGGCAACGACGGTCGAACGGTAAGGGTTCTGTGTTGTTGGCGCGAGAATTCTCACTTTATAACTTGCTCTGCACAAATCGACCTCCGGTTAAGATAAGAGACCCTCTACATATTCGAAGAAGTGACACCCAGCTGTAGCAGCATATCTATAACACTTTTATCGGGAGGGTAGAGAGCATATAACTTTGGGGGCGGCATGGCTCAAACAAGTAAATGTCAAGAAATCGATGCAAGGACTTGCTTGAGCGACTTCCAGGAGTCGGAGACGCTCCTTATATCGGACCAGGGTTCCTCCTTTGATATCTGACAGGGTCTTCGGGGTCACTTCCATGACAAAATCTGCTTGTTTGGCTGTTTGGTTTTTCCGCTGCTCCTCCAGGTAACAGAGAATAGCTAGATTCAGAAAAGTGGATTAACACGCAAGGTAAACCAAAAGCACACAAAACGACCCTCTTGGATTTATAAATTGACTGCACTCTCATCCAGTCACTGGAATTATTTTGTAAATAAAATCGTAATCAAATAATTTAAATGTAACTTCGTATAGGAAAGGCTGCTTAGGTAGAATTGGCAATCTGTGACATAAACTGGCGTCAACTGAGATAGGTTCTTCAAATGAGTACCACATGCTTGTTATGCTGACCCCATTTTACGTTGGATAACCCAGTCCTCGTGGTCCGTACTGTGTGTATAGGGGGTAATCGCTCCTTTTTAGTGTGGCCTTTATGGCACTCCCACTCAAATGGAATCCGAGCAGCCCCTCTCTTCCGTAAGAGCCCGGCACTTGCCTGAGGGACAAGGTTGTGTGTGGCACGCGTAAACGGACACTCTACGGTGGTCCCGACTCTCTCATGCCATTGGGTCCGGGTGGATGATGGAGGGTAGAGTACAACAGATGCCGCGCAAGTCTGCCAGCACCATAGACTAATTCACGCACAACTCCTGCGCCCATCACGCTTTGGGGCACACGGTGAGATCGTCGCCTGCAACCGTCGAACCGCTATGCCTGTTTTGTTGATTTTATGTGACCGCGCTCGCTTCCAACGCGCGCGACATCACTGTTCTGAAAGATCGAAACGGTACCGTACTGGTTTGTGCCGTTGCGTTGAGTCTGCATGTGTGCATGTGACACATTTTACACGGGGACTCACGCCGCGGCCGCTACTGCATCCAGCCACATCACTGCTCGACCGGAAGGCACGAGAGGTCGCTGGGGCACGACAGAGGAAGGAAAGATCTGGGTCGGTCTTGGCTCACACGTTCTCGTGCTGATTTGATGCTTCCACACAGAGGTAAATCTGGCGCGCCTCAAACTTCCGAGAACTGCTAACAGTAGCGGTTTGGAGGGTTACCAACTGAGTTCATTACCGGATCTCCCTTTTGAAAGCGGAATGGACTGCACTGACTGTTTTTTTTTCAACGTAACAACTGAGACGCCACTTATTTATGTGAGATCCGGGCCTTTGTGTGACACCCGCTATACGCTGGTTTTACATCGCGTCAGTTACTGTGCCAAATCCCACCCCAAGACAGATTGATCTGAGCAAAGTAATAGCAAACGGGCGGGGGAGCAGTCGATTTGTTGATTTTATTGACCCTCTGTGGAAGTATGTGCACTCCGAATTTTCCACTAAATAAGTGACCATCAAGAACGGATTACGTATTTAGCCTACTTCGACTATTACTTCGGTTGTTAGACTACTTAAATAACTCCAAGATTATGCTCATCTGTCCAGTGATATATTCAATTAATCAGGACTGATTGCAACCTTCCAGACAGGGCATCTAAACCAGCCTCTTTTATGCCTTTACTTATTTTACAACCTATTATGAAATACCACCGAGGGTAGATTAGCATACATTATGAACAACTAATTTTCTCATGCAGGACAATCAACAGGTCGTTCTTGCAATAGCTTCTATTTTCTATTGGTGCCCAGGAACTAGCGTTTCGGTTATAATCAGTAAATTTCAGCTCATCGCGAACATGCTAATCAAACCGCTCCGTGTATGCCCATAAGCAACTTTCTTAAGAGTTTAATTGCGCGTCGTAAATGCGCTGAAATAGGCGAGTGCACAGTTGGTGTGAAGGATGCGGGAAAGAAAACCAGGAACAGGATCTGAATTGTAAATTAGAGAACCGAATCCTTACTTGGATCAGCCGTTGCACCGAGATTGTCGATATTTGAGACAAAGGCCCAAGTTTTGCCCTCGCTGATAAACTTTTTCAGGAGGCCGGACTCATAGAAACACCGGTAGAGGTCACCATGTCCGGGTGGGTACCAGGCAGGATCGTACTCTTGCTTCAATTGCATCGACTTGGCAAATGGAAGGCTGGTCTCCTCCAGAAGTCGCGGAAATCTTGAAGTAAGAAAAAAATCGCGTTGTCGTTAAATCAATAGTAAGTACATGGGCGAAATTTTTCTAAACATCTTGAAAACAAGTATTATCCTCCGGAAGGGGACAATTTCCGTTAGTTTTACGATCAAGTGACGCTGTCCAAAATTCATAAGGACTGTCTTGATCTCGGAAGATATTGTCATGTTTTCGGCGACTGTAAGGATATAAAGGCAAACCCCTGCATACTTAAATTTGGCAGTCTGGATGATCACAGTGGTTACATGTCGTTATTATTTAACACAACGCGCCTAACTGAACCGTTTCCCGCCAAAATTTTATTTTCCTAGTTGTTATGCCAGACGCTGAGCGGTAAAATCTTGGGCAGACAAGAACGCTAACAGCAAAAGAGACTCAGTCGTCTGCCCATGGTGAGCTAACGCCACTGTCCCCGTCAAATGTGAGAACTGATCGGTATTCTCTCCTGTCTGACTGAAAACATGTGCCAATCCTAGGTCAGGTGACTGTTCTGCAATGGCTACAAGACTCCTAATACAATGGGTTCATGCTGGGAGACCCACGTAGCAGACATGGTGTCTGACCCGAATACAGGGATCGGATGCTCAAGGCTACCGAAAGAAACGGAATCGACATCGGGCCGCCTTCTGACTGCTTCACACACACTTCCACAGACGTGGTCTCTGATGAAGGCTATCCACCGCACTGAGCAGGATCTCAGGTCGGACCATGTGGCAATAATACTTTCATGTCTATCTTGAAACCGATATGGCAAATCAATTACCTGGAAAGAAGCGACTGCTACTTGTCCTCCGACATGGTTTCGCCGGTCGTACATCACAATCCTGGATCCCTAAACCGGTGTACCAGGGGACTGAGTGGAAAGGTGCTCCTTAAAATTAAGGTACTGTGAAGAAAGCACCCCTAAATAAGCCGTCCAAGGCAACGGCAGTCGGGTAAGCTTAAGATTGATTTGCGACGATCGGCGGACTATAATTCTTGCACTCCGTTTGGCCCTGATGGAAGCTACCGGCGCCGGAAGAAACAATTTTCGTCCTGGCAACAGCAAGGACGCAAAAAATTCAAGTCTTCCCGCACCACACACAATTTACCTGTTCTGCTCAAAAGTGAATATCTTCAACTCCCTCTTCGAGATTTTGCGCAGGTAGGAATCCGTGTCACGTTGGGTATTAAATGAGTTCATAAGCACCAGAGGCACCTCGATCCCGTAGCGCGAATTAAGCGTCTGAAACAAGGAAGGCGGAAGTGGCATAGAGAGTTGTGCCTGAAGATTTGGGAGGATTGCGCAGAGAATATTATAGGAGACTGAACTGCTTCATATGGGTGGGATGCGCAGAATAATGTGGTAGGTTTGTTTTAACTTTCTGGGTACTAGGCGTCAGCACAAAATATCATATTTACATTATCTCATCAAGTGGTCACACGCCTATGTGTACAAGACAGGCCAGTAAACATCCGCATAATGCAATAGAAACCGCGCGCGTCATTACCGAACGACAAATAAAGTGCAAATATCCCGACTGGCGGCAGGGATTTGCTCGTTCCCCACTGTCTTGAATTTTCAATGCAGGGCTTTTGCGGACTGCAGCATACGCGTGAGAGTGACATAGAGGCATGGTTAAAGAGGAGGAGCCATCGTGCAAGACTCTCAGTCCACCAGTCGATCCCGTCACACCAACACACAGGGCAGACTGCAAGGTCTGAGTTACATCGTCAATTGGAAGCCTCCCAAGCCAATGCGTTTAGCGCGTCCTAATAGTTTCAAGGGCACCACGCTTATTATAAAACAGAGTAATAGACTGGCCAATGTGCTGAGCATGTCAACGTTCCACTTACCCATGAGGGTCATGGCCGGAAAAAGATACTTAGTGCCACCTTTAATTTCCAAAGATATTTAAGCGTCCCAACGTGCGACAAATAGGATTGGAAACACTGGAATGACCACATCCGACTTCCTGATGGACATCAGCCAATAATGCTTCAAATCTAGGTACTGACATAGCCGGGGTCCGAGCCCAGATACGATAAGTCACCAGGTATCTCAAATTCAACGTAAAATCCAGTCCTTTATCGTTTGACATCAGGAATAAGTAGTGTCGTGAGAATGGAGTTCACTGACCATTCCTGATTTTAGGATGGAATTGGAAATTTTCCTATAACTTCGGAGCATATGCCAAACGTTGTCAGAATGGTCAGCGCGTGTAAAGGGGTTTGAATTTGTGCATGGAACGATTGGGAGCGTCTCATTGGTAAGCCGGAAATATCTTAGCAGCGTTGTGTCTGAGGTCAAAATCGGTAAAGAAGGGGGTTCTGGAATTTAAGATAACGTACATAAGGACTGGAATCGTCCCGTTCAAACATCCACACAGTCAGTCCTGCCTCTCGCATCGGTTACGCCGAAACTGATCAAGCCACTCCACATTCCGGACTGGTGCAACCTCGAATAAGGGAACTCGACCAAATCACGTATAATCACACTGACTCTTATGTTTCTACGCTGTCTGCTGTTCTATGTGAGATCCTGGTAAGGAGCTTTCGACGTAGCAACTGCGAACTCCGGAATCACGCCTCTTATTTCAACCTGACAATCAGTTCGCTTCGTTTTCTCTCACAAATCCACTCTTGGACCTGCTCTATTATCTAGATTTCCAATTGAACCACCTACTTGGTACTACTGTCAATTGTTCGCTAGCCCATCACTTTCATGCTAGTTAATCACCCCCGCATTTCCTATACCGCGATCCACGAGAGATCCCCACTCCTAGTCAATATCACGAGCTCAGTCTGATGACCAATTAGTCAATAAGATGGACTCCGATCAATCCGGCGAAACGCGCAACAACGCAGTTAACCACTTTATCCGGAAGTAATATAGTGAACCATCGACTATGGGTTTCATCAATGCCTTGGACCTTCTGTTCTCAATACAGCCCCGGTACGTTCCGATACCGCTTTACAAGTACTGTTCGTGACAGAAACTGATATAAGGATTTTTAGACGCCTTATACGTTGCGAATTTTGCTACCTTATCCAGCCCGTTCAAGTAAATATCCTTTTTCTTGTGCAGAAATGTGTCGACATCATTTTATCAGACAGGGTTCGTAAATTTGACCTAAACAAATGTGGTGATATATTAGGACAATTTCCTATGCTACTACTTGCCTTAGATTTCGGCTGCTTATCTGAGCATGTTTTTCTTGGAGAGGAGGGTAATTTACCCTTGATAGTTCTACTAGACAGAGCTAGCCGCACTTGAAATCGATTTTTTGTCTAATGCTAACCGTGAGAATCAATTTGCTAACAGATTTTTCAAAAAACCAGACGTTTTATCGATTTTTAAAAGTCGGATTAGCAAATCCGCGTGAATTCGTGCCCTAACGTGCAGTAATAACGCATACAGGCAACCTTTCGTTTAAATGGGCCAAAAATGCTTTACCATTTAGAAAATTCTATGGGTTAGCACCAAAATGACTATTTACGAATAGTCATCTTCGTTTTTGAACATATAAAACCTGGTTTATCGTGCGGCCTAGTTGTAGCACAAACGTAATTTAGAAATGGATCGAGCAAAACCCTAACAGTTCCAGTAAAATATCAATATTCATATGGCCATTCCACCGGGCATTCATAATTGTAGAACGGAGGCCAAAAGTGGACAAAAATATTGAAAACGACCGCAACATAAAGAGAAAAGCATGTTCTTTCGTTCGCGATAGGAAAATATCGGTTTTTTAAATATAAACGTGGAAAAAACGGCCAAAAGTGCCAAATCTCCCTCTTGGCTTCACCATGCCAAAAAAAAAACGAAAATACACATATATCCGTCAGGAGAATGCAATATTAAATCACTCATTAAAAAGGTAGCTTATAAGAGAATGTTTTCTAACTGATCTAAAGAATATTCATTGTTGACTTTTGTTGTGGACGTCTATTTTATTTGACAATGTAGTTTCGTGTTTGGACGAGTCTTCACATGTGACCCAAACGACCGTCTACACGAAGAACGCCCAAACACTCGCTACATCGGCAAGTGCCTTCAAGTAGCATCTTATCTTGAATGTTATAACAACCTGCGTTATAAAGAACCTGCCTTCATGGATAGTCCATCGAAAAGACAGAAAATCATGAAATATCCGGCGATATTTAAACACCGTAAATCCAGAACAAAGGAAAGTGCAAACCCATTTCACGAAGGAAAAGTTTTCTTTGTGTACACAAAATGGTGTGTTTACGATTGTCTTTTAAATCCACCTAAATTTATTAGTCACCGACCGGTCTGGCAACATGTGATCCTGGGAAAACTCCTAGCTCTATGGTGTCCCTATCGGCAAAATTAGGCAAAACCCTGTATGCCTTATTGAACCGGATCACAGTCATTGTAAAAGCGTAAAAACTGGCAACGGATTTTCGGGAAACCACTTTGAAATTTATACCCAGAATGTAGGCTGTTGGCAAACCGCCCTACCCGATATTACACTGGTTCTTAAAAGATATTTTACCGTGAACTTCACTAAAACACTATTGTTAAATGTTAGTCTATTTCTGCTGTTATATTTACTCAGTTGTTTGCATGGACAGGTATTCTGTACTTCTAAAACTGAAATCAACTCAGTTATAACTATTTATGCGTTTACGGAATTATCCGTTTTTCCGAAAAATGATATTTCTACACGACGTAACATTACCTTCAATATTTCTCCTATGTTTTCAACTCCACTAAACTTTTTTTCTTTAAAACAGGCATTGTGTCCACGAACTTGCGCCGGTTTGCGAGTGATTAGCAACCATTCGTAAATGTCGGCACATTTCATCATATACGCCACCTAATGTAAGACTTCATTTGGTTGCCCTCTAATCCGAAAATGGCATACGTCAACCACTTGATCGATCGGTCGACCTATCAGACTGTTTTCGCGTCTATCTGAAAAGCAGTCTATCCTTTCAGCCTTATCGTCCTGAATTCTGATTGGGGACAATCACCAGCCTTTTTAAGTGGAATGATGTCCCCAACAAGCGTACACAAAGAAGTTGCAAAAATTAGAGAATATGTTAATACGGCTAGTCCTTCAAAACATGAAAAGATTTTTAAAAAAACATTTTTACTGTTTTTTTTCATGGAAAGTTAGCATGCCTCTTTCCAAATTGCCCATGACGCCCGTCAGGGATAGTTAATGTCCCTCTACCCGTACAGTGCGCAATACATGCAGATCTTGGATAGTACACAACTTTAGTAAGTAGTAATTATTTTCCTATACAAAATATGGAAGCTCGACAGTCACGCAGTCGAAATAACATGCCAACGCCCTCTCCTGAGGTCGGAGCACTTATGACCTAGGATAACAGACAAGTTGGCATTAAACTGATATAATATATTGCTATTCGGTTAACAAACGGATAGGCGCCTGCCTTAGACCAAAATTAGCCGTGGTCATTACTACTTACGAAATTGAAGAGGGCAGGTCAATTTCTTTCCGTCATCATCGCTGACAAGTGCGTGAATTCATTTGCAGTGAAGTAGGCTAGCGCAGCATCTACCGCACTCTCACCTCCGCTCTCAGTCACCTTGCTCCGATGGCAAGGCAATATCGAGTGGTCCGGAGGTGGGCGCAGTCAAAGTGGCGGACAGAGTTATATAACACGTCTACGCCTGCCAAACACGACCTGGTCTCGTCATCAGGCACCAGGCCCCTTCAAGAGCGGCTCGAGGCCCACTTCAGTGAAAATGCCGTAAGAGTTACCTTGAAGAGGAACCATTGCGGCCTGACCCCCAGTCCTCCAGTCACTCCATTATGCCCCCATGCAAACCGAGTCATCCTATCAGTTAGCAGCCTTTCAGACCAGGACTTTTAGCACGTCAAATTTATTATAGTTAGGCATGCGCCGTATCGTAGGTATGAATGCCTCAACGTTAGTCTAACTGCTTCTTATCCCATGCTTCAGTTGACTGTCTGAGCCAGTGGGTTACATAGACACTAAACCAACCTGAACTGCCATATCACTGTCACGCTACATGCCTGACGCTAAAATCTAACGCCCACGTTGACTGAAGAATTTTTTGTTCAGGGAAGGTGAAGAAGCATGCGTACGAAATTACCTTTCGGGTGGAGAACCCTGAATAGAGGGTACAGCCAAAAGACAAATGGAAGAAATGTGGGAAGACACGCAAACCAGCCCAGACAGGTAGTTGGCCCTAGACCCACTGGGACATTTTCAGCATTCCGACATCCATGTCTGACTGCAGGCGGTCATTGAAGCCCAAACTATCCATCGGTGCTGTGGTGTCACCAAGCCGAAGAATAGAGTCGCATGATGCGCAAGCATTCAACTGCCAAGTGGGGTTCGGTCACTCTCCCTATGCCGAGTTGGCTGCCACAACGCCATCTGATTCCCAATTCTTACTTATACCTGTAAGTGATACGGCTGCGATCATGCCTCATCTAGTCGGCCTCGATGATGTTCCGAACTGAACCCCTCCACGCGTGACGATCCGCAGCAGCAGCTCTGGACAGCTCAACCTATTCCCTTCGCCAACGACTTAGACGGAACACCGAAGGTCTAAGAACCACCCCCCCATGTCTTGACGAACTGTGTCGAGCCAGGTTTTGAACTGACTCCCTCTTCGACGCCTCCAGTGGGGCAACGATGGCGGATCGAGGGCAGTAACACTGAGCTCCTGAGGTGGAAGACGAAGAATATGCCCAAACCACCTCAGTCGTCTTTCTATGATGGCCTGAGTTGTCCTTGCGATGTTGTCGCAGCGAGCGCCGACTGTCTCATTTGAGACGAAGTCGGTGAACTTCACTCGAAGGCCGGTCCTCAAGCAGTAGTGGTCAAATAACTCCAGTTTTTGCTCGTCCTCCACGCGCAAAACCCATCACTCACAACCGTAGAGAAGGGCAGACCGGACGGATGCACGGTACACGCGAATCTTAGTGTCGATGGAGAGGTCACGTCGGATCCATAGGCATTTCCGAAGGCTTGAGAAAACCTAGCGGGCAGCATCAATTCGGGAGACAGTGTCATCCTTACTCCGTCCATCAGGCAGCAGCCTCGTCCCGAGGTATTTAAAACTGTCTACTTCTTTAAGTTGACCGCCATCAGTCCCGAGAGGTGCCTTCTCCTGGTCGGGGATGCAGTTTGAAATCACCTTTGTCTTCCTAGCGTGTATGGATGAACCGACCGATTTAACGACCTCTTTCACCCGTGACACCCGTGACGACTTTTAACGCGTCAAATTTATTATTGTTAGGCATGCATCGCATCGTAGGTATGGATTCTTCAACGTTAATCTAACTCCTTCTTATCCCATGCTTCAGTTGACTGTCTGAGCCAGTGGGTTTCATAGATATTACACCAACCTGAACTGCCATAGCACCGTCACGCTACTTGCCTGACGTTAAATTCTAACGCCTACGTTGACCGCTCTCGTTCTCTACTATAATGAGGTGGGAACAACTGCCAAATACAGCTCACGATATGCAAAAGTGTGTCCGTAAGAATGCAGTTTATCATCACGGGTAGCCTCTTCTTCTGTGTTCCTCATGCTCACTTTCAAATCTTGTTTGTTTTTTGGATTAAGATCCTTTTTCTATTCCTTGCAGGTCGCCTGAAAGGGGTCACGCAGTAGATGCGCTGGAACAACACGGGCGCTCTACCTCGACACCGGGTCCGGGTGGTAGAGGAAGAGAGAGTGCAGTAGATGCTGTGCAAGTCCACTGTTACTGCACACTAATTCACGCGCAAGTCACTGTTCCCGCTCTCGCCCTGCTTTAAAACATACGCTGAACATCGTCGGTCGTGTAGTCCTGTAAATAGGATGTTTGCAGGAATTTACGCACTTCCCGGATTGACGGTTGCACCCAGTGCCTGGATGAAGGGGATAGGCCACTTTTCACGAACCGTGCGGCGTGCCACGACCAGGTACTGGTAACCCCTTTGGTTGACGAGCAAACCCAGAGGAAGGTAACGGGTGTAGTTCTCTAGAGTTGACAGATTTGTGTGTGGAGCCTGGCCCATCTACGGGAGAGGGATCAGAAGCACTCTGGACGCACGCGCAAATGAAAGCTTTACGCCGATCCAGCTACTACCCTCTGGAGTCCACCTCAAGTCTTTTTACACTATCCTTGCTATTGAAAGGAGAAGGTGAGCTCTATGCTGTTCAAGTTCTTCTCCTAAGAATCTTGCTCATTAGAAGTCTTATAATCTCAACTGATATTTAGCTCGTCGGTCGGATTTTATTTCGCAGCCGTACCTTCAGTAGACAAACCCCAGCCTAACCCATAACCCCAACCCCTAATCCTTAACCTTAACCCCATACAGGTACGGCTACAAAATAGGATCTTGCCCATTCGTCGTACATGACAGGGACTACCAGTGCCTTCAGTGACTGCAGAGAATTACAAATAATTTGAGTAACAGAAAGAATGATTTGGGCTGTATCCACAAATGTGCGTCACTCCACACCCACCATGCTCAAACTGCGAGGCGAAATCATAACGACCGGAGACGGGTGTGAGTGCGGTGACTGGTCAGATATTTCATCCCTGCCATTCATGCTAGTCGATCCAACACATCAAAGAGACTTCACTTGTTTTGAAACCCCATTGGTTAGAGTTACATAAGCCCAAAGTATGAGAAGTCACTGCGGTCTACCCCGCAGTTTAGGGAGGGATCGAGTTATTTCGCTGGTTTGTGGCATTCTGAGTAACGACTTTCTGCGGAAGTGCGTAAAATTTACCAAAGAATGGTTTAATACAACAGCTCCGTCGGTCAGGGTGATCCACGAGACCCTTACAGAATTAATCATCCAAAATACCGTCACTCACCCGCTCAACTGCAACAAAAAAAAACATGGATGTCTGCACATTCGCGCTACTGGCAACTGCCGGACTGCGTTCTGGTTTGTGGACCAGAATGCGGGAGCAAATGCAATGCGATATGAAGACTGCTGGACAGATCGCCTCTACCCGCGTCAAATGTGACACCCCGGGGATGTTCTCAGTTGAAATATTGTCCCAAATGGGCCCGCTATAGTACGCGGTGGCCAAATTAAAAACAAGACTGGAACAACAGCACACCGCAAGGTGCGACTTCCACGGAAACAACAGTTGGTTTTACATCCACACACCGATGATATAATGACTGATTCGATTAGAGAGGCGGAAAAAAACCCATGAAATGCCAACCGAAATTCCAAAACGTGTTCCGGTTTTGAAAAGATTAATTAAGTAGGGTTGTAAAACTAATCAGTCTGCAGCATAATTCTATTATCATTCAGGTACCCCAGGATGCCGGCTTTTGAACGAACCCCTTTCCGGCTGCAAGCCAAAACCACACTCTGTAAAAAATGACTACTTATGTAGCATGCATTTTTCTCATTGATTTTCGATGTCCGTAACAGTCCAATTATATTTCATAGAAAACATGCACAACAATATTCATTCTTTTGCTCACGCGGTATAAATTACGTTTTCTCCTAATTTTATACTCAAAGGAGGGATTCTAGAAGCTGATACCGAAATTCTGGTGTCAAGGAGTGATTGGTGCTAATGTTCGCGATGTTGGCGCGCGTCACGGACAACGGGTCTGAAGCATTCGCAGTGGCAAAGGAGGTTTTCTTGCTCCCCCATCTTCCTCAGTGACATGTTCTCAGCCATGACAATGGACAACTACTGTGAGAAACGCTCTTAAATCCACATCGACCAGCACTCCACGCCTAGAAGCGTCGGCGAGAGTTTTCAGGGCTAGAAAATACGACCCCCACTTCGCTGGTTGCTGCGCGTTAGAGATCGACACAATAGAAGACCTACAGAGAAGTGAGAACCCCAGATTGCTCCAGATTCGGAGTGAGCATCAGCACCTGAAGTAGGCAGGCCCCAGCCGCCTGTCATACGGATCCGGTGGTGATGTGGGGTTTAACACTAACCCTTAATCCTAACTCCTAACCCTAACCCCTAACACTAACCCCTAAGCCTGACGCCCAACACTAACCACTAACCCTAATCCCCAACACTGGTACTTAACCCTAACCCAGAACCCTAACCCCTAACCTCTAACTCCTAACCCCTAACCCCTAACACTAACCCCTAAGCCTGACGCCCAACACTAACCACTAACCCTAATCCCCAACACTGGTACTTAACCCTAACCCAGAACCCTAACCCCTAACCTCTAACTCCTAACCCCTAACCCCCTAACACTAACCCCGAAGCCTGACGCCCGACACTAACCACTGACCCTAATCCCTAACACTGGTCCTTAACCCTAACCCATAACCCTAACCTCTAACTCCTAACCCTAACCCCTAAAAGGTGTGGCTACGAAGTAGGATCTTACCGATAACGGCTCCGCACCAACAGACGCCAAAGTCTGACTACAGCGAATCCAGGGCCAATGGTAATAGAACCCGCTTACATCTTTGGACGATCTCCTGTAGCTAGAGAGCACAATATCAACATCGACGGCGAGATCGCCCACCGGATGGCCAAGGTCAGTGAGGTCTTCGGCAGTCAACAGCACTCCGTCTTGAACCGCCGTGGCAGCCTTCTCAGTACAAAACTCTCGTATAAGATTATGCTACTAACAGCACTACTTGTCAATAAAAGCGAAGAGACGAGTACCAGGAAGTAGTCTTGAAGAAGGAGACACGATCGCCGGGACAAGAGCTTTATTAGCCTGACGTTTCGGATTCCTACTCAGTCAATCCTATTCGAGTAGGAATCCGAAACGTCAGGCTAATAAAGCTCTTGACCCGGCGATCTTGTCTCCTTCTTCAAGCACTACTTGTCTGCAAAATGAACGCTACGTGGTTATTCCACTTTGGCTGATTGTCTTCGACTCAAATGTTCATTGAGATTTTGTGTCTGACCTTAAAAAGTCATGTCGCTGGCACTCAACTCCATGTCCTGAACAAAAAATTTCTGAAATTGACAACGATAGGGTGTAGGACCCACAACTAACTGGTGCTATCCTGTAGACTGTGTCATACATTGAATAGTGGTAGAGGGGGTTTTACGGATAAGGCAACACACGGGATGGAAAGCAAGAAGACACAGAAAATAGATAAATTTCTGCCGAAAATCTTATCATACGCTGCTATTTGGCAAAGAAAATGGGTGCGATAATCAAAAAGTAAACAAAAAGCATTTAAAAAAATGACTGACTTTCAATAAAGCGCCGCTGGTAAGTTTAAATTTAGTCAGGAAGGTAAGGAGAGTTCAAACAGCGGGAACGATGAATAACATGTGATGTTTAAAGTCACAATGAATCCTAGGGTATATTTTTGTAGTTGCCATCTACTTGTGGGTTCTACACCAAATCGTTATTCTGAAATTATTAGCTTGATTATTCTCTGAAGTTCACGTACCAGAAACCAATTGAGGAACAGAACACCTCGCAGCTGTGCCACGCAGAAGCCGAATACCGGCGAAACAGGAGCCTGACCTTTTAGCTAGTACCCATGTCGGGAGTGCGGTATGACCATCGCTCCCGATCGAGGACCGACAGGGCAACGGGCCCGTGGCCCAGTGGTTAGAGTCGTGGACTTCTAACAAACAGGTCGCGAGGTCCACACTTCGGGGGGAGGGAGGGTTGGGTACGACTGGCTGATGACGGCCAATAAGTCAGAAATGGCCATTCCAGTCTCCCTTGTTTTTGTCGGTAATGCCATTCTGCCTATATCATGCGCCGCTGTGCGGCTGCTGGTTGGGCTAAAGAGAGAGCCCTAAAGGCAGAACGAAACGAGTGAATTCCGTAAGAACGATCGGTGAGCGCCCTCTACCATGAATAGAGTTGTTGTCCTGACATCGTCGCCGTACGCGGTAGCCCTATGGACTGTGGATGACAGCCGAGTAAGAGAACTCAGTCATTTTCACCTTAGTTTCATCCGGAGAATACTGAAACGACGATAGTAAACTTAAAGCATGGAGATCCTGAATGGAGCCAGCGTCGTTATTAACCAGGCGAATCTGCGATGGAGGTGTTCACAACGAAGGGGAACAAAAGTGACATTAAAAGGACACCTCGAAAACCACTCTCAAGTACATGCAACTCAACGCAGACATCAGAAAGGAATTCACTCAAGATTGGCAGGCCTAACGCACTGCCGTAAAGACTGGAGTAAACATCAGCAAAGGCAACCGAGTAGCTGCGGCCAGGGTGAAAAGAATGGTTTGCAAGATTGAAGTTCGGCTGGCCAACAATGCATGCACCCAACATCTGCCATCATGTCTATACTGTCAACAGACAGCCAAACCATGGCTCGGTATGGTTAGTTTCTTGCAAATCCACCGCAGTGAGATCGGCTAACAAGCGGCAAAGATTGAAGAAGGAGACACGATCGCTGGGACAAGAGCTTAATTAGCCTGACGTTTCGGATTCCTACTCGAATCCAGCCTCAGAGACAAAAGCAGATACGGCCGGCTCATGCACAAGGGACTGCAGTATTTATAGGATGCAGTCGTCATGCTACCGCATACCTATGAACATTCACGTCTCCTCCTTCATCCGGGATCGTCGCACTTTGTGTGCTAATTGTTTAATGGCCGACATTCGCGTCGTTAATTGCTGCAATTTCATCACGTGCGTTGGGCTTTGGTGTGATGATTGTTCGAACATCTGATCCACCGACCCTGGAGTTGGAAATGTTCATAGGTATGCGGTAGCATGGCGACTGCATCATATAAATACTGCAGCCCCTTGTGCATGGACCACCCGTATCTGCTTTTGTCTCTGATGATGGATTCGAGCAGGAATCCGAAACGTCAGGCTAATAAAGTTCTTGTCCCAGCAATCGTGTCTTCTTCTTCAAGACTACTTCCTGGGACTCATCTCTTCGCTTCTATTGGCAAGTGGCAAGGATCCCGGCATGCCCTTATAACTCCAGTTCCACCTGCCCTCGCTATCACATGGTATTCAGTCAGCGCATGGGCCTTTCCGGTCATATGCGCATCCGTGAAGTTTTTAGTAAGCCAACACAGTTCAGACCACTGCACGAGACCTTGCTGTAACTGCAGAGAAACACATAAGCTAAACAACCGACCGTTCGACCGTAAATGCCGACGATGTCCACCAGCAAGCTGGGGGCAGGCACGGTGACTTGCGTGTGAGTTAGTTTATAGTGGCAGTGGACTTGTACAGCATCTACCGCAATCTCTCCTTTTCATCTGGGCTCGATGTCATGACCAACTCAAGAAGACCGGAGGCGGGAGAGAGCGCAGGTGGCTGGCACGGCCGGACCCCCACCCAGGCGTACCACCACACCCCCCCCCTGGTCCACAGCAAACAAGTGGCCAGGATTTAAACCAACAGCAAATTTGGGGGGGGGCAGCAGGGGTCCCCACTGGACGACGTTAGCCGGCACCTGGGCTTGCACCTCACCCCGAGAACATCTGCCAGAATCCAATGCGGCCCCACACACCATAACATACTCGTATTTGACACACCTCCATAACGTACCCTACATCACTCCTATAACGAGCATGCGGTCCGATTTACCATTACCGAGAAGGCGGATGAAACGGCGCATGACAGAACAGACTGCTGCCTGGTGTATCCTGGTTGATGAAGTGGGGATCGGGTCGTGTGTGGAAAGCGCAGACAGGCTGTCCAACTCCACCAGTCCTAATGACAACTCTCATCACTACTAGGCAGACTGGCTCTGAAAGTCGGTTGGTGAATGGTAGAGGGGAGAGAGAATTGGGTCGTCGTTGGGGAATCAATCTCCACGGCACATCAGCACACGCCTTGTTGCAATAAATGCGACCTGCCTGAATCTATCATGACACGCCATGATTCGCGTATCAAAGAGCTTCCAACTGCTGGAATATATCGATTCCTCGCGAGAGAGGGAGGGAGTCAGGCTGCAACGGCTCCTCCTCAATTTATTTATTATGGTACCCAGGTAAGAGAGTTCCGAGCCCCCCGAATGCGATTTGCCGCATTCTGAAGCGGAAAAGCTCGCATGTGGCGCGCGTAGACGGACCTCTCTGTCAGTCACTGCGTCCGCGCCCACGCCCCGTCGCCTTGACGCTGTCTAGCCATCTGGGTAAGGTGGGTGATGAGCGAGACAGACAGAGAGAGAGAGCAGTATATGCTGCGCAAGTCTTCCTCATGCTAAAATCCAAACTTAACCGCCGATGAACCCATATGGCGGGGCTGTTGAGGATGTCCTCGTCTGTGATGGCCTGTCCTGATGTGTGAATAACTTCGTTAAAGGCTCCCCACGTATGCTCGAGTGAACCGATCACGCAGAACGAAGTATTTAGAGGTAAAGATGATGCAAGGTTTGACAAGCTGTTAGCACAAAAGCACTCAAATAACACAATGGTATGGTATTCGACCCAAGTGTGCATACCTCAATCTGCTGCACAGTGAGATCCAAAAACGTGCAGTCATCGCGAACTTTGATAAGAGACTTGGGGCCACAGCAACCCATACTCGTGCCCAGTCCGCCATTCAGTTTTATGACGACCAGCTTTGAAAGGGCGTCGACCATGTCGGCTTCTTTGGGTTTCGGAAAGTCTTCGTAGTTACTCATCTGAAGAAAGGTGAGGAATCTTGCGGATGATTTCGGCCAAGATCGAAAAAACTGGCTAACTCAAACTCTGATTTGGATGATGTAAATAGGCGAGGACGTCTGCACACTGTTGTTACGGACAAGTAAAATATTTAGTCGTTTTTTTCCGTTTCTCTTGTTCATGCGTATGCAAATAGATTCATTTAGGTAACCCTTAATCTTACGGGGGTTGAAAGGATCAAGACTCTGCCCTTTGATACCTCCTTCGAAGGGGTGCTCTGAAAAACCCATCAGAACGAGCTAACTGCCCCATTTTAGTTCTTGGAACGCTCGCACTTGTTGGCCAGTTACTGTCGAGACACGTCCGCAAAAAAACTCGAATATGGTGGCCTCGGAGTGATATTTGGATGAAACATGCATCTGGAAGGCCTACTTGCGTTCGTTCTTTGTAGTTTATTTAGGAAATGGATGACGGACGGTATTTTTTCGGCAGTCATGACCGGCAGAAAGCAAAGATACGCAGTCTATTCCTTTGTCCTTCTACCTGTAAAATGGTTCCCACCATTTTCAGTTAGGAAATTTAATAAATGCCGACTTTACTGGTGATAAGTTGGTAATATCCCTCCACGAGCTCATATTGTTACAGGAATGGAAAGCAATAGCATGTCGGAGTTCCACTTTCCCCCCCCCCCCAATTTTATCAAAAAAGACACGTCTTCAGATTGACGCAGCACTAGGATATATCATGAAATGTTAACCGAACTTCAGAGACGCGTTTTGAATTAGAAAAAGTATGTTAGTGAAGCTGTACAATCTACTGAATTGCAGCTCAATCCCAAGATATTTCAGTCAAGCCAGTATGCAGCCTCTTGAATGCGATTTATTTCGATCTTATCGGAAACCGAAATTTGTAAACGTGACACTCCTATAACATGGAGCCTTCCCATTGACCTTCGATGGTCTCATAAACTTGAATATATTCTACAGAAGAAATGTAAAAAATATAACTTCCCATAGTCCTTCGATAGCACGTTTAGGGTTTCTAAAATGCAAGCTACACATTGTTTTTACAAGGAAAAACATGCACTGCTTTATGCCATTAAGAAGGTATCTTATATGACTCATAAAAATTCATTAATGCATATGGCTTTTGTTTTATACTTCATATGGGCATTAATAAATGGACGGATACGATGCCATGTGAGCGGACAATTCACAGTCATCATAAAATCTCATAATCAGAATCTTCTGTATAACCGAAAGATAGCCTCTGTCCAAGTATACAATTTGAAGAAGACGTAATTTGGTCTTAAATTCTTAAATCTGTACAGGGAAGAATATTTGTAGGCATGTTTTTTATTAAATATATATGAAGTGGTAAGGTCATCCTAAATCAGACTAGGAACTTCACTTTACTTATGAAGTCATCTTTTACTGAACATGGTTTTAATAGGCGATCGGAAAGAAGCGCATTCAAAAGTCGGCACCCTGGTCTGACTGACGTATCTCTGGGCTATGCTGCGCGACAATCAGTATTACTAATCCGCTCGAGTAATCTTTTCTACTCTTAAGCACATTTCAGTATTTCGGTTAATATTTCGTGAGACACGCCTCCCATTTAAATTAACAGTTATTACGTCATAAAACTCGCAGGCGAAAGACCCTTTAAAGTTCATTGCTCCAGAAGGCTTTTTAACTCAAACTGACGAGTAATTAAAGGATAAAGGGGATATATCCTTCGGTTTTTCAAAGACTCACGTAACTAAACCTCTGTCAGCGCATTACAAACTGGCCGCATTTTCAGGTATTGCTTCTGGATGACGGACCTGTACAAAGTGGACAACCTATTACGATGGTGGCATAGAATTCAGCTACTTGCTCGAAACCTAGAAAATGATGCGTTTTTCGGTCGCGCAGTCCTCCAATACAATTTATGATCCGGGAGTGGCATCGTCGCTCATTGAGCATGTACTCCGCACGTTACCAGTCGATATGACTTCGACTGCTTTGCGGAGGCAGATTTCTGATGAAGACTGTATACGTTACTGCCAGAGGTCAGATGATAGTCGCTGGATTGTTAATGAACAGTTCGAAGGGATATCAGCATGGCTGACTGGATATTTCTGTAAACATCCCCACCAAACAGCAACGATTGAGAGATAGCGTCTGTAGCTTGAATTGTTCTCTAACTTGTGCACGTTTGTGGCACCAAATAGAACGTGCAAGAAAAGAATGTAATCGAATTATAAAAGTCATCGGTTTTGATGGCTGATTGAATGCTGGATTTTGTTCCACCAAGCCTGGTTACACGGGCAACCTCCGACATAACGGTCTACATGTCTGTGGCTTTCAAAAGCTATGAGAGACAACGCTACATCCTTGGCTACAAGGAATGTTGGGCTTGTACGCACAATTTATTTCAGACTTAGCGGTACTTACAAATATGTGAAAATACCAAATGATTCTATCCTGTGTAATTTGCACCAGCTTTGACAGATTTTAAAATTTTATCATTGCGGTTACTGCCTAGGTGGCTGACTTATCGGTCGCGAAATAGGCGGGATTTCTTGGTGCAAATCAGCATATGGAATCTCTGTTGTTTCCTTCGGTCGACATAGCGTATCAAGCCTCGCATAAGTTTGGGTACGACCAAAGCTATCGTCTGCCTTCTAACGTAGATCTTAGTGGTCTTACCTGAGCTTCATTTCGCAAATATCCTTTGTAAAAGCATTTTATGAGGTTTGTAGGTTTCAGTTCATTCCGCGGAGACGAAAAATGTCCCTGTCAGTCTTCCTGCTATTTCCTACGAACCTCCTGGATTTGAATAAATCCTTTAGTATCTCCCTAATCTGTGTCTAGATTCACACACTGGGAACGTCATGGATAATGCGCTTTCATCAAAATGAGGATCGAATTATCTCAGTTTCAGCAAATGAAACACCCAGAACCCACCAGGTGGGGGTAGGGTATATCAGTACATATTTAAGTCTTGGTCAGACAAACCTACCACCGACTCCTCGGGTTGTTTTATCAGCGACCAGTCGATAGATTCCCGTTTTTCATCCACAAAACTTCGGTAAAGTGAAAAGAAAGTATCCTCATCAATGAGTGCCTCTTGGCGTTCAGACTCGGGCACTGCGAGGCGCATCCCCATAAAAACTTCATGAAGACCGTTCTCAGCATCGCTCTGTTTTACTTCACGAAAACTTCCCGAGGAACGATTGAGAGAAATTGGCGGCATACTGGTCGCCACGACGTCCATTTCTTTGGCGTAGACGTGCGGCCGAATTATCGATCGGCACAGGTCACGGCATGAATTTGAACTGCCCGCGGACATCAACTCACGTGCGCATGGGCCCTAAATCGGACATTCGTGACATTGACAGGCATTGGCAGAACCCCCGCCGAGGCAGTCAATACAAGGTGAAGACCTTTTGCAAATATGAAAGATCCGTTTCGCCTGAATAATATTTTGGCGCAGGAGGAGACACGTTATTCAGTATACAATTAACTGTTAATCCGAGAGGCATTTAGCATGAAACCGGAACATTGGGAAACTCTTTTATTAATCAGTCATCACTGATCTAGTCCACTTAAAATGAGACGGAACGGAACATCATGACGGATAACCGGAGTCTTCTTTGACACCGAGAGGGCCTAACTTCCTGTTCGTGAGTCCGGCGCATTTACAGGCAAATGCGATAAAGGCAGGTGTTAATAAAATGATGAAATTCCCTGCCTGAACACAAAACAATTCGTCAAAAATGCTGCAAACTTTCCGTGAAGTCGAAGCGTGAGGGTCGGATCAGACAGTTGTTTAGTCGGGTACTAACCCTCACAGATGGCTTACGAAATCATATTTTCTGGATTCATTACCAACCTGGCTGCTCAGCGGTACAATAAAGAATGCTCACTGAAAACTCTCACAAAGTTATCTAGGAATTGCCGCAAGAAGCATCTTGTGCAGAACCTCAGACAACTCCGTCTACCAGTGCATCCGAAAAGGATTTGTTCAGCCACTGCTGTACCCGCCTCGGTATGACTCTCTTGACTACCAAATTTTTCCCTCTATCGGAGAAAATTGCGTGGTCGTACGTTTAAAAGCCGTGATGGACTCACTACAGCTGTTGAAGAACAGGTGGATTTGCCGAGTTCATTTAAGACCATTCGCTGGCCATCGGATTCATCAGTCCAAGAAGCGCATTGGAATTGAGAGAGACTATGCGGAAATGCTGAAGTTACCTTTAGAAATTTGGGCATCAGTGTTGAAGTCCATTTTGTATGATTGACAATACCTGTGGTTTGCCGATTTATGTACTAGACGAACCGTTTAATCATTTACAATCATTTCAATCGCGTTTACGGAAGATTTAAACTACTCTGACGGCATAAGATATTTTAATCGAAGGTCCACCGCTATCCAATCGCAAACCCCCGACTGTTCCGTCCACTCAGTAAGCTTAGCTGTGTAAAGATGGATTATTGCTTGAACTCGGCTTCGTGAAATCGGTGACTAGTAGCAACGACAGGCCGTGCAAAGCATGAAAAAGTCTTAAAGTTACATTAAAGTACAGGGTCTGGCTTTAGGGAAATCCCCGTGTAGATCGTTACGGAACGTCATTCATTGCCGAATATGGTAATCCGGCACCATCTGGCGTCTACTATCAAGTGCAGGGAGATGTTGCATTGGGTACTCCCTCTTCGCTAGAACAAAGGGTCACCGTTCACCGAGGTGGTCTTGTTGAGGAATCGATTATGGCAATTGTGACTTGTCTTATAGCTCACCTATAGGGTCCTTCTATGCAATGATTGAAAGCTACGCCCGCTAAAACAGCCTGGGGGACTAAGACAGCCATCTCAAGTTCCGAAAACATATAATTGATATTTCGAATGACCGTTTGGACGGGTAACCTTCATGGGTATTGCCTACGGTGTGTTCAGACAGGATAGCACCACTTGCGGCGCCTAGTGTGTCAGTCACAAGACGGGGTTGTAAACTGCTAAACTCCCAACGGGAACGGCTTCGTTTGTGTTGAAAGTAGTTAGGGGCAGTAGCTGGCATGAGGTAAAATCCCATCTGAGTGAAGACTCACGCAGACTCAACGCGGCTAAACTAACGGGTGTCACAAGTAAATGTAGCCATGCTTCTGTCTAACGCCGCAGCGGAACAGTCCTTTTGGGAGCAATTGTAAACCTAACATGACAGTTCGACTGTCGCCAACGACGGCATCTACCGCATGCCTCAGAGTCAAACTTGCGCAGAGTCTACTGCACTTTCTCCTCCTCACACACCTTGAAGAAGTAGACAGTTTTAAATACCTCGGGACGAGGCTGCTGTTTAATGGACAGAGTAAGGACGACATTGTCTCCCGAATCGGTGCTGTCCGTTGGGTTTTCTCAAGCCTTCGCAAGTGCCTATGGATCCGACATGACCTCTCCATCGTCAATAAGATTCGCGTGTACGGTGCATCTGTCCGGTCTGTCCTTCTCTACGGTTGTGAATGCTGGGCTTTGCGCGTGGAGGACGAGCGAAAACTGGAGGTATTTGACCACCACTGCTTAAGGACTATCCTTCGAGTGAAGTTCACCGACTTCACCTCAAATGAGACAGTCCGCGCTCGCTGCGACAACATCGCGAGGATAACTCAGACCATCCAAGAAAGACGACTGAAGTGGTTCGAGCATGTTGTTCGTCGTCCACCTCAGGAGCTCAGTGTCACTGCCCTCGATCCGGCACCGTTGCCCCATTGGAGGCGTCGAAGAGGGAGCCAGTTCAAAACCTGACTCGAAACAGTTCGTCAAGACATGGGGGGGGGGGTTGTTGGACCTTCGGTATTCCGTCTACGTCGTTGGCGAATGGAATGGGTTGAGCTGTCCAGGTCTGCTGTCGCGGATCGTCACGCGTGGAGAGGTACCGTTCGGGACTTCATCGAGGACGGCTAGCTGAGGCATGATCGCAGCCGTATCAAGTACAAGTAAGTCCGACGGGAGTAGAATGGGATCGGACTCGAGCGCAATGGCTGGCAGATTTAAACTGCCCGCCCACGCGTGTTACACGGCATGGTCCTAACTGCATGTTCCGAATTAATGCATGGTTTTCTCAGAGCTCACATTCGTGATGAAGCCATAAACGTAACAGTGAAAAGGATTTGCGTCGGTCCGCTCACTTGGATGACGCCAATTTGTGTCTCTGTCCCCATGTCCGCCTCAGGATCCCGGTCGATCCGCTACTAGGATCATGCGGGGCATCTCTCTGGCCTCGCGTGAGCTTGACTTCAATTAACGTGGTGTCTTCATTGACTGGTTACAGACGGACCCATTTTAGACGAAAAATAGGCGTAAGCACAAACGAAAGACATCTTGTGGTGACTACTAGCAGAGCCTCTTGCATACACTTTTAGTAAAAGTTACTCCAGCCCAACATGTCTTCCCTGACTTCTGCTTTGGGAATCTACGCGGTAGCCACAGTTAGGAGCTTTTGCGTCAGCTCGTTGTAACGACAGATCCTGATAATGATCGGGTAATCCTGTCAGGTGGGGATTTTCATGGTCGTCTACCTCAGAGTATCGTTATAGATTTAAGCGCTACAGTTCCATTATAGTAAGGAGTGTGGCGATGCAACGTGAGGATGGAGTCTCCAGCGTCGACCTCACTTCCCTCTCCCATGTACCGGAAGACCGTTCGAGCCTTCAACTAACTGGCGGCAAGGGTGGAGGCAGTGATTGGCGCGACCTAAAGGCCTATGCCCCCAGGGCGTCCTACCAAACCCCTGTCGTGCGCAACGGTGGTTATGGGTCCGCACGGACACCGCACCGTCTGACTAAAGCCTGCCGGGAAACAATCTGACCTCCGTTTCAGTCTAGCACGTCCGCGTCGCAGTCCGCGTGGTTGGTCACACCCGCAAGGCCGTCCCGCACCAATAACTTTCGTCAGTGTCTTAAACGGCATATAACAGTCGGAAATCCAGGTCGGAAGGCAATGAGAACAGAGTAAGGACTTTCCTACATTGGTGTACAACAGAAGCGGTAGCTCAAGTATTTCGGATGAAGTTTTTTGAGTAAAACCTTATTAATTTGTGCACTGGTTGGCAGATTTGGTAATTCAGTGGGATTCAAGCCCACGACAGTGAGGGCATGGCGTGAGCGCAGCGAACGGTCTAGCCACCCGAGCAACCAGGTCCCACGGGGAGTCGTAAAATTAATCCTGTTTGGATCAAGTTACCAGCCCAACCTACTACGATGTATGGGATCCATCTATTCTGATACAGTTAACTGGTTTCCCAAGCAATATTTCCTAAGCAATCAGTCTACAATTCATCAGATGACTACCAGACTCACTAAACCACATTGACAATATCCGTTTCCTTTTCCATGTGGGTCGCCGTCGTCTTGTCCAGCTACCATTGTAGAAGTGGGTGGACGGATAGACGCCCACGTCTCGTCAGTCGAAATAAAGTTCAAATTCCTAATTGATCGACTTGGGTTTGCAGCCGATGGGCATCCTTACGACGCACGACGTCTTTGTTCAAGGTCCCGCTGCTTCACGACCAAGCACCTCTCCGGCTAGCGGTTCCGGACGTATCAACTGTCATATGTGCGCATGCGTGCATTCAGACGATTACGGGCCTCCACGCAACAAATGAACATGACTCTCCTCAGCTAACGTAACCCTCCCCACTTGAACATGACACACTCGAAATTTTTTTCACGCACCTGCAAAAAACATCTGGCACCGCTATCTTAACCTCTTTCGTCAGACTTCGTCAGCAATCGCGGGGATCTAAAACAGCAACCCGGGATTCTTGTGCACAATAAACCCCCCACTTTATGGTGACATCTGCCTTCTGATAAACCACTAACTATCCTGTTGATTATGGAGCTCTAGGGACACTCACTGCTTAGAAGTTACACACTTGAGGTATACCGACGACAAAGTGGAAATTCTATCGGAAACGCTTCCCGGTTATCACTTTCTAGACGTTATGCCACCGCCCGCGTAAGTCCTAAACCCAGAGCCCCAGAACAGGACGGAAATGCTCACCTTCGTCCTAGAATCAAGATAGCTCGGTAAGCGTTATAATCGCTTAATGTGAAGATGTTTCAATCTCAGCCGACAAAGGGTGAGTCCGGCTGTTTGAGCTGATATACAGCGAGATTTAAAGCTTAATGATTTACTGGACACGGACTCAAACGTGACGCGCACCAACATTGACGATTTGGGTAAGGGGGACTGACGGCAGCTAAGCACTCAGAAATGGCCATC